TTCCACTAAATAACAAAAGTACATCAAAATGATTGAAGCTAAGGGCATACAAAACTGTCTAACAGAAATGTCTATCCACTTCAATGTATTTCATTTGGTCATGCTGAATAAGATTATGGACTATAGGCTTTGACATCCCCCCTCAAAGTTTTTTTCTTATATTTAATAAAAATTCTATGGTGGCTGCTCCTCCATCGAGCTCATATTTGGGGTTAAAAAAATAAGATAATGGGCTATATTAATGGCTGCTTGGTTATCACAGTAAAGCATCATTGGCTTCTCATGAGTAATACCAACTCCTAAAAAAGAGATCTAAGCCATAATAATTCCAAAACACCATGCGCATTGCTCAATATTCTGCTTGAACTGATGACCTTGCTACTACAGATTTTTCTTACTTCTCCAAGAAACTAAGTTCCGACCAACAAGAGTCCAATACCCTGAAGTAGACTCTGTCAACCATCAACACAACCAGTCCAAGCTACACCAGTGTAAGCCTCTATCTTCATGTGCCCATGATTAACAAATAATATTCCTTGGCCTCAGATGACTTTCAAGTAGCAAAGTACCCTTTCTGCTGCAGCCAAACGAGTATCACAAGGAGCATATATGAACTGCCTAATCACATTGACAGCATAAGAAATGTCTGGCCAAGTCATACACAAATATAGTAGCTTGCTTATTGTAGAAGAGATGGGTCGAATGGCCCATAGACTGTCATTTCATATTATGTTATGTTTCTCTCTGTTATGGGCCTTATTCTGGGCCCATACTCTGTAATGTTCTGTTTTTTGTATTTTCCTGCCCACTCAAGGGCCTCTCTGTAATTTGTCAAAGATTAACTTCTTAATAAGATGTTTAGAGTGTTAGAGAGAGGTTATGTTCAAACCTCTTACTCTCTAACACTCATTGCCGCCAGCTCTCTCTTCTCTTCCTCTCTTGTTTGTTTATTTTCTGGTTTGCATCTAATCTCAAACAGTTCCATACATCAAGTGGACTGTTTTTCAACTCTTATCAACCAACCTTTGAAACACTCCCCACTCCTGCAAAGACACCCCATCTGAAACAGCCAACTTATGGTTGAAATCAAGGCTTTGATACCAAGTTGTGATTCAGAACAACAAATATTTAGTGATTAGTCACTAAAATAATGCACAGAAATCAGGAAGAAAAGGGTTTAGACCTGGGAGGAAAGATGATTTAGAGCAAGATAAGAATGTCTTGTGGGGTTCTAAGTATGTCCCCCACTCACTATATAATCGAATTCTATTAACTTGATGTACAAAGACTAAGCTGCCCTCATTTAAGTGGCAGATATGCACAAGTAGAGGAGGGGGACGTGTCTCATTACATAAAGAGCCCACTAACAATAAAAATAAAAAGATATGCTCACAAACACAATGATAGTTCCCTACAGCCCAATAACCTCAACAGAAATAAATTTTGGTTAATTAAACTTTGGTTGTTGCTAGATTTTTTTTTTCTTTTTTCCCCCTCTTTTTGATTTCTTCTTCTAAGTGATCCTTCTATTTGCCTTTACCCTAACAGCAAGAATTCTTTCTCTGTTCTGATATTTTTCTCATTCTTTGGTGGACAGAAAATTGTCTACTTGATTTTCCATCTCCATTCTTCATCCCTAATCACCTATAGCCCCTCCTTCACCCCACAAAGCCCACCACAAGATCTGAAATTTTTTGGACTCTACCCCATCAAATTCTCTACGGATGACATCAAAAGAGGATAACATACTATAGCACATTTCTCATTGGCTAGAACCAGAATTCAAAAAGATTGGTATCCACTTATTGGAAATCAAATAAAGCTTAATTTTGATGAATTTTCCCTGTAACCCAGGCTATTCGGGCATTGGAAGGTGATTTGGGAAAGTTGCAGCTAGTGTTGGCAGTATTTTCAGGTCCCATAGGTTATGAGGACTCTATAAGAGCTGAGTTGATGGCTGTCTTACAAGGATTAAGGTTGTGTAGAAGGCTTCATATGAGCAACCATAGTGGGGGGAGATTCTTGAACAACTCTTTAGCCTAAGGCTCCGTTTAGTTTGAGGGATGGGAGGGGAATATTCTTCCCTTTCCATGTTTGGTTTGTGGGATGTCATGAGATGGAACGGGGAAAAGGTGGGATTACAAATCTCAATTTTTGGGATGTGGACTCCCAGCATTTTGGTGGAAAATAGGTGGGAAAGGGGTAAATTTGTTTAACAGGAAAAAAAAAACACTTGTAGTGTTTTTAAGAGTTAATATTAGACTCATGATCCATTAATAAATTATTAATAAGACAATAATAAAATAGTTTAATTACAATTAATTAACAAATACAAATTAATAAAATAAAATATTAATAATAAAATACTAAATGACAAAGTATTATTAATTAATTCATAATTAACAAAAATAGTTAATAATTAATTAATTATTGAATAATTAAATATTTATTTATAAATAAATAATAAAAGTATTAATTAATTAAAAATAACTAGTAATGAAAAATCAAAATTATTAATTAATTCATAATTAACAAAAATAGTTAATAATTAATTAATTATTGAATAATTAAATATTTATTTATAAATAAATAATAAAAGTATTAATTAATTAAAAATAACTAGTAATGAAAAATCAAAATTATTAATTAATTCATAATAAATATTAACTAATTATCAATATTCATTAAATAACTGATTCATAATGATGTATATACCAATTTAATTTAATTTGATATGGGATTGGTGGCTTCCACTGCTAGGAGGGTATGGACTAGAAGAAGAAAAACCAGCTATCCAATTTCATCTTCTAAGAAAGTCCTCCATTGAAAATGTATCAAAGAGTCAATGTTTTGGTCCAATGAGTCATGCTAATCATGATACACTTAATGACTTCATCTCTAGATTGTGCAAATATCTATACAGAATTTATGTTCTATGTCTATTTTCTTGGCCTTAATTGTTTTCTATTTTTATATTGTAGGTTTTTTGTAGTGCTCTTTGTAGCATGCTTCTCATTTGTCATCATCGGAGGTTTCCTTTTCTTCAAATTTAGGTAGTCTATGATCTTTTACTTGTTGAATAGTTCTGATAACTAAGCTATGACAAAATGTATGTTGTACTATTAATACTTAGAAAATTTCCGTAATGTGTCTAACTGTGTTGTTTCATGTTATATTCATATCTCCTTAATTCATAAAATAAAAATTTTCCTTGTGAAAATTTTAATTGGAAACACTTTATGAAAAAGGAAAATGAAAATCTTGCAGTAAAAAGGAGTTCCTATTTTCAGTTCCACAGGAAGTTATTGCTTAATCCATAGGCATGGGTTTATTAATCCTAGCATGGGAAATTTGATATGATTTTCACATAATGATAATGGCTTTCACATGGAACAGGGAGCATTAGATCATGTAGGAATTTCACCCATGTAACTAGTATTTTATAAAAGTTCCTATGAAATCTTAATATTTAATTGATTGTTTGTCACATCATGCTTGATATATGTTTCTTACGAGGTCTAATCTGCTTTTCACTTTGATTGTATGCAAGTGCACATTATTTGAATTCGAAATTGTTATGCTGGAATAGAACAGATTGTTTGGAAAGCATTTTTTTTTTTAATTTCAAGTTATGTTCTTTCTGTAAGCTGAAGGGGCCTATAACATTTCCTTTGGGGGGAGAAAAACCTTTGGCAGTACCAAAATATTATGATATACAATTAAGCCTGATTTAATTAGCTCTCACCGAAAAGGAGGTGATCCAGCTGCATCTTCCAGTATGACTACCTTGTTGTGACTTCACTCAATCACTATCTCTGCGTTCGGCATCCCACTCCAAGTATGTAAAAAGAGGGATATGGGCTAGGCAGCAGGGCTGGCTTATAATCCTGGTACAATTTGAACACTCCAAGACACCCCTCAAGCTAGCACCTACTGGCTTGCCTGAAAGATACAACATACCTTGGTAGCAACATGAATCAATCTTCCATATCTAGAACACGATGACTTGAAGATTCCAACATGGTGCCATACTTTCAGTTACACCATATCCTCTAGGATCAAATCAGTTGGACTGCACCCATGGTGGATCCTTTGGCTCTTACCCATGCCATAATAAGTCTTCAATTAATGAGATGATGCTCATGGTGGCTTATGGCTCAAGACACAACCAACCATCAAGTTCACATTTCAGCACATTCCCTAGAAATAACAAATTAACAATATACTAGCCAGATCAAAGAGTCCAAACTCCAACCACTATTATATGAGGAAGAGGATGTTACACAATCAGAGACCTTAACATTCCAAATACCCTAATGACAAAATTAGAGCTTCCCCTTAATTAAAGCCAGTAATCCCTTAGGTATTTCATCCAACGTGTACCTGGCACAAGGCACATTGCTGTTGAAGAAAGTTCTCAATAGAAAAGAAAGACACTTGACTATTTCAACAAACACTTCTCCTATCGGCAATAATGCAGGAATTGAATGGTCACATAATCTGACAAACTCTTCATCAAATAGTTGCTGTTCACCCAACATGTATCTATTTTTTTATCAATAACTGAATGAGATTCATTAAATAAAAATAAAGACATTACAAAGGAGAAGGGGAAATAAATTCTCTTAGCGCCCCCCCCCCCCCAACCCAAGAGGTGAAACAAAAAATTACTATATAGCCCGGAAAAAAGTTGCTTCTTCCCACCCATTGCTTGGCCAAAATATCAGCCAAAATTAGCTTCTCTCTTAGTCCAATGCAGCTGAATTTCCATGCCTTGAGTCAGGAACCTGAATTTCTTTTTATTCATGTATGTAATCCCACCAGCCCATCTCCTCCTCCTTTTTGAAGCCATCCAATAACAAGCTTTGAGTCCCCTTCAATTATTAGCTTGGAAATATCTAATTCCTTGGCCTTCTGAACTCCTTCCATCACAGCATAAATTTCAGCTCTCAACGAGTCACCCACCCAACATGTATCTATTGGAACCAGATACATGAATGAAGTCGGTAAACACTTACTACTAACAATCAAAAGACCACTCCCCCCGCCCCCATCCTTTAAAGTGCAAATATGAAATTCCATCATCTTGGTAACAAATTGACATCCCAAAGGAACATGCTCCTTCAAATAGCCACTTAAAAATCCTAAAATAAGAACCAGAAATTATCTCTCCAATTGGCGTAAATTGAAACAGCTGCTTCCAACTCAACTTTCAAACACAAGATAAGCTGATGAAAAAAGGGGAAACACCAGCTGAATAAAAGAGATGATTTAACTATTAAAAAACTAGACTTGGATGAAGGAAAGGATACAACTGATTGCTTATTGAATCAGATTTAATGTGAGGAACAAAAACAAGAAAATAGTATGAGATCTAGGGCACCAATTGGACTAACTGGACAAATCAGTTTATTGTAACACAAACTGATGATAGAAATAGGGAAGACAACACTCAATGATGTAGCCATAGAAAGAAACAGAAGCAACAACATATCTTAACTATAACAAGATAGCAAGAACAAAATGAACAAGAACTGTGGTATAAAAAAGAGGAAAAATATATGATCCAAACATAAAAGGACTTCACTAACAGGTTTGGAGTCTTCATTGTTGTGTCATCATCAGAGTCAACCTGCTCTGCTATCATCTTGTCATGAATGAGATGAGAGTAGAGAGTGAACCAAGGAGAAAGAAAGACGAGTGAAGAGAAGGCTTGGAACAACAAATCACATACAATCTCTCTCTCTCTCTCTCTCAAATGAGAGAGATGCTTTATAACAGAAAAAACCAAATTACAAAAATGTTGCCGATGGGGTAGATATTACATTAAAATCCCTGATTATAAATTTTGTTCTCAAATACACCCATTTCACATGCTTAGTATATTTTGAAAATATAGAGACTGGGCCGAATGGGCCCTAGTATCTATTCTTGTAGTGCGTTATTTATTTATTTGTTTGTTAATGGGCCTGTTATTTCTTTTTGTAAGTTCTCTTTATGTTTCTGCCTAGCTGACCGCCCACTTAAGGGCATACTTGTAATTAGCCTAAAGAATGAAGTTTAACAAAAGGATTAGAGAGGGAAGAGATGAAATTATCGAACTCTTCTTCTTCTTCTTCTTTTCTCCATCTTCTTCCTTTGTGCTTCTGTCCTCTACTTTTCTTCTTCTTTCCTCTCTAATTTTAACCAAGTTAATATCAGTTTTAGAGGACTGATTCACATCTTGGTATCAAAGCAGGTCTCTTTCTTCCTTATTTCTCTTTTCCTGTACACCCTTCGATTAGGAGAGTGTATGGAAAGATAGGTTCTCTATAGTTCAGAGGATCTTTTGCCTAGTTTGTAAAGGGTTTGGAGAGTTGAATTCTTGCTGAAAACTGCCAAGAAGTGATGCTGTATTGTTTTTGCCCAAAACCCTAGCCGATTAGAGATTTTCAAAGTTACAGGTAAAGGAGAAGTTTTGGGTGTGACGCTCTATGCTTGGGAGGTGTCTTTTGACTTCTAAAAGAGGGTAGTTCAGTTTTGGAAGAGATTGGGAAGTTCTAGTAGGAGCAGCTGCATCTTCTCTCTTTCTTCCCGACAACCGGGCATAGTGAAACCCTAGTTTTCAAGCATTTGGGTACTGTTTTGACTTCAAGTAAGTTTATAAAGACCACATTTCTGGTTTTTTTATTTTCGTTTGGTTAATGAAGCAATATGGAAGTGAGTTCAAGCAGGTGCCGGTTTCCGGGCTTGGCTTGGTAGATTTCATTTTGACTGGTATGACCACAATTAAGTTAGATGAAACCAATTACCTTGCTTGGGCACAATCTATGAGGATTGATGTCTGTTGTAGAGGAAAATTAAGTCATAGGATGGTTGGTCATAGGCAGTAAGGTGAAACTCGAAGAGACAAACCTTGAATTTTTGAAATGGACGTAGGAGAACTATATAGTCATAGAATGGTTGGTCAAATCTATGCATCCCCATATAAGTCAGTGAAGGGATGGGAGATCCATCATATGGATGGCCGAACCATGCAGGGTGGCTAGGCGAAATTTCAAAAATTTCTTTCTCCCATCTGGGAATCGTATTCCCTAATTTAGAAAAACTGCATCTTTCAAGGTTCGTTCTTGAAACAAACTGGATCAGATCTGAAACCAAAAGAGGGAGAGGGATATACCTGATACGGAATGTATGTAACTCCCAACGTAGGTGTTCACGCCCAAAGAGGTCACCAAAACCCAYCTCCACTGAAGATGACATATGTTGAGGCAGGATTAGCAAGGAGGTTCTTCATAAAGAACCCTAATTCTTCAGCAAGAATCACGCAAGGGGTTGTGAGCATGACTTCAGATTGATTCTTCTAGCAAGAAACAATATCAAGATCTAATCTTGATCAATTCCAAGAGTGGAGATCGAACTGCGTAGGGGCGGCAAGTGCTGAGGGAGAAAACTATAGAATGCTGAATGTGTTAAATTGAGGAGTTTGCCCCCTTATTTATAACCTTCTTTGGATCAGCTTCCTAATCCAATTAGGAAAGAATTTCTTGATCCAAATCTGATATTTGGATCTGGATTCTTAAGTGGATAAGACATATCTTATCCTCTTGCTGATCCTAATCGGATTATAAACCTAATTCGCCCCATTTAATTAAATCACTTAAGCCCAATTCGAAATGGGCTTTAAGCCCATTAAGTTATATGGCAAACTTTCTCTTTTAAATGCTGGCTAGTTTGGCTCTCTTTGTATGGCATGAGACCCTAGCATTGATCTCCACAAAAGCCATATGGGTTCAGTCCAGCCTCTGTTACAAGGTCTGGTCGAATTCACTGCTGAAGACAGTGAACCCCTGAGCCCATCAGTATGGGCTTTTAGCAGGCCCAACATCTACACTAAATGGTCCCTGGGTCTAGCCACCTTATGAAGGCCCAAGGACTATGGACTTATGTGAGATTAGCCCATCAGGTAAAAACCCTAAATGGTCTTACACTTAACCTCTCAGCCCATAATGATCAAATACTGTCCAACAAGAGAGGACCTCTCCCTCGGCTGCAAGGTATAGTGTTGCACTCT